CCTCGATTTTGGCAGTTCCATAATTGGGTGCCGCAATTAAAATGTACTTTTATCTCTGCAATTTTCCTTCCTGCGGCACCACGATAGGTATTGTTTGATTCTTTATGCTGGGGACAAAACCCATCAATTGCTGGTTTGCCATAAAGGGAAAAATAAAGCGGAAAAACCCCATGTACCAACAGCAGCTTATTCCTGCGAAGGAACAGATCCTTTGGAAAAAGCAGAAGTGACTCATCGCTCCTCTAGCACAGGGAGGAAGGAGCCAGCACTGCAGCCAGGCACATCCCCCCTGAGATGCCTCCCTGACTTCTGCTCCTCCCTGGTCCCACTGCTCCCACCAGCAGGAAAATGAGTCCCCAGCCTTTGCTGATGAAACCAAAGCGATGATGACCCATTAGCACATGCTGCCCATCAGGCACTCGCGGTCTCCTCTACCGCAGGCGTTTTTGATCGCATTAACAGTAAGTGCACTGCGCGAACCCTGAAAGCTCCGAGAGATGAACTCACGCTTAACGGCGTGGTGGTAGCGAGCCCACAGCGCTAACGGGATGTTGGTGTTTTTACTGTGCTCTCTGTGATCATCCCCATCCACAGCAAAACCACCTCTGAAAACTGCTCCTTGCACTCAGCGACGCCAGAGCCCAAACCAAGCATGCCATGGGGATTTGTGACCCACAGCAGGCTGAGTGCCAGATTCACTGCTGTCCTGCTGAGGCCCCGCTACTTTATTAATCAGAGCCATAAAAGAACAGATAAAACAGCCAGAACCCAAACCTCACCAACCTGCTCTCTGTCAGCGCTAGGGCACTCCTTTTGTCACTCTGAGCTAGGCTATATAGATTTTAAGCTTTGCGAGTAATTATTGTTCCTAGTTTATTACAGAGACCATGAAAGGAGCTACAAAGGTGTGCTTTCTTTAAATCCAGAGTTATTTTTGTTTTTATCCATCAGCAATCCATTGTACACTCAAACAAAAGGAAATGCACCAACATGAGGATAGGTATAGGTAAGAAGATTAGAATTGAAGAGCAGTCAAGCAGTCACCCTTAGTGTACACACTTGTGCCTGTCTATTAGAGAAAAGCCATCACAGGTCCTGAAACAGGAGCAAAAACCTACTTGTTTTATGCATCAGCAGAAGTGCCCACTGAGTTACAGCCAGGCAGACCGGTAGCCATCAGTGAGGCCAGGGCACCATGGTCCAACAAGAACCTTGTTATTAGTGAACACGCTTCAGGTACCAAGTAAGTTGGCTCAGCTTTCACATCTCAGGTTGTGTCTGATGGCTGGAAATCAGAAGACTTCCCATTAAGAGTATGGTTTTTATGAGAGCTTCTTACACAAAACCAGAATCCTACAGCATCTTTCCTGCAGGCTCCTTTCAAAGTCAAAGAGTTTCTTTTAAGCCACTGCTAACACCTCCCACGCAGATACTTGCTTTAAAGGCCTGAAAGGAATCTAAGGAAGATACCAGGCGTGACCACAGCACATCCAAAACCATGAAGAAACTACACCACCACCTTCACCTAGAAGGGCAACACAGCAGGAACCAGGGGATTCTCCAAGCACCTCAGGCTTAGATTGCAGCAGGTGTCCCAGCACTGGAATGCATCTATGAAAACCCCTTCACACGTAGTGGGGGAAGCTGTTCGGCTTCTCCTAGTGTCAGTTTTCTCCCCAGCAGAGCCAGAGTAACTCTCCAGAACTGGTGTCAGAGCCTTCCTCTAAAGCTCAGTGAGAAGAAAAGCACAGGCAAAGGCTCTGCTTTAAGAAAGGAAACCATAAAAGCCCTATTCAAAGTTAGGCTTGTGGTTCCGAAAATGAGTTAAGCAAGCCCTACACTTTGTTAGCTGGGCAGGAGGGATCAGGGGCATATGATGATGGGATCCTGGTGCAAAAAACCCTAAAATCGGCTCTTGCAGGTGTAACAAAACTGCACTGTAATTTTTACAGGCAGTTTGCTGATAACCCTGTAGAAACCACTCCTCCTGTCACCACAAGGCTGGTGGATATGCACTCCGAGGCAGAAGCCCAGCCAAGGCAGGCATGCAAGCAGTGATGGAGCCTGCCCAGGGAGCCAGGCAGCAAGGAAGATGGAGCAGGAGCTGCCACAATGGGCTGACCACAGGCTCTCTGGTCAGTTCCCTGGGGAGATACAGGTGTATTTTCCTCCAGGAACCATTGCACTGATCAGGCAGCAGTGCTTCTATCTTTACACTCTGAAACACACCTTAAGCAGTTCTAATTTTAGCTGAGTTTTTAAACAGTTCCTGGAGGTTTGAGTTGCAGCGCCTCATACCGAACTCTGCCTTTTAGTCAAGTGCGTATGGAGCAGACCTCCCGCAGAGCTGCACGGCACCTGCAGAGGAGGCATGAGACAGTTTTAGAAGCTCTCTTTCAAATGTGACCTGTAAATTGTGATGAGTTCAAAGCGACCTGTAAAAACGAGGTGCAATTGGTTGTGTTCCCTCTTTATGACATAAAAAAGGAGGACTTTTAAAGGTTGAGTTGTCTGGGGTTTTCAGGGAGGTGAACAAGAGGGAACCTAATTAATTCATAGCTCAGAGGTGTGAAGTCATTCAGATTTCTTTTGAAGTTCCTACTAGATAACTGAGAACATCTTGGAGCTGAAGTCACAGAGTCTGCATCTAACACACCAGATCAAGGGAAACAGCACTCCCACAAATGGTGTAACTTGGGATCCTTCCAGCATCGTAACATAAAGTGTTTTAAGAATAACTGTATTACAAGGATTAACTTTCATTTTCATCTCTTTGCCATCTTCTTTGTATCAAACTCCATATTCCTGGTTTTGAAAATGCTTTTGGTCTCCACCTCTGTTTCTTTTTGTCATGGCTCTAGGAAATTAGACAGCTCAGCACACCCAAGCAGGAAAGCCACTGTGACATGTTACTGAGCACACCAGAGCAAGCTTTGCATTGCTGCTGTTTGAGCAACCCCTACGTGAGGGCTCTGTTTTGGTTGCACAAGAAGATGAGATTGTGATGCTCAGAAATGTCCTTCATTAAATCACCTTCACTCACAAAACTTCCCGATGTCCAACACAAGAGTGCTTCAGATCCTTCGTGCTGAGGTGAGGGAGTTGCCTACTGTCAGGCCTAGTGTTAACCCCAACACTTGCAGGTAGGGACCTGGAGCTTTCTGCTCTTCCCTTCACAGAAGTACGTTTTCACACAGCAGAGCCTCTCATTTCACATCTACCGGAGTATCTGGATTGTGGAAGGTGACCCAGGTGTAAGTAAGGGTACGATCCACTGCTGCTCCATGGAGGATCTGTTACTTCAGAAGGCGATCAGATATGCTCCTGCAGGTTCAGAAGAGACAGCTGCCTCTTCCAATAACAAACGGAGCAGCTCAAACCCCATCCTGAGTTGTAAAGAATAGAGGTAAATTAGCAGAAGACTTTTAAAGCTCACTATGTGGCTAATTATGTTCCTTTTGTAGCAATTTCTCTAAGAGCATAGATGCTTCTTTCTGGGTCCGGGCGCATCATCTTGCGCACTCTCGCCATGCCACATACTTGCATTACAGAAAACAGCTTTAAAAGAAGAATTTAAGGCTGTGTTCTTTTAACTCTGAACCACTGCAGCTTAAACAGTGCGAGACCATCAGCAAGTCCTTCAGGAAAACCAGAAAAACTTGGTATTTCTGCTAATCATAGGACTAAAAGTGTCGATTGAAAATGTTCTGGGAAAAGCTTGCAGGGTGTAATACATCCTGACGAATGGCAGATGGGAATATGGTTCATCACTTTCAAAGGTTATTTTCATGGATTTGACAGATGTATTCAGACAGACACAAAAAAATATGATAAATACTAGTTTACAGCACAAGGCTTTCAAGCTATTTATGCATAAAGAGTCACTATTCGTGAATAAGATGTAGTCTCTAGTCAAACCAAGCTTTGTATTTAAAAGAGATTTGCCCGGTGAAGTTAAACCAATGACAACATCCAGCTTCCTTACCATTTTGCTTTTTGTTCTTAATACCAGTATTAGTATGCAAGGAATAAAACAGCCAGTTTGTAATGTAAGAGTGATTTATGGATCTTAAAAAAAAGGCACTGAAGAATCATGTTAGCAAAAGCAAACCCTAAATTACCTACTTTTCAATAGCACAAGCTGAGAAAGGCAGTTTCTCAGGAGAGAAGAAACCTGGGCTAGACAGTGTGTAGCATGATGAATTTTCCTAAAGCTAGGAAATCCCTATGCATCACTCTTAAAAATCAACCTAGGGCTGAACACAAAGGTTAGCAGAAATGCCTAAACTCACATGGGCTCCATTATACACCACTTACTGTAACCTACTTTTTAGTATTCAGCATTTCGGTATCAATAATGCATAACGCCAGGAGTAGTTCAACCCAAAGCACGGTCGCAAGCAAGCAAACATGGGTCTCCAGCACGGCCCAGCTGGAGCGTGGTGCCGCTGCTGACCCTGCTTCGTGCCCCTGTGAAGGGGGACAGCAGGACAGAGCTGCTGGACCTGTCCTTGTGTTTATCAGGAGCTGGGAGCTTGCCTCCTCTGTGAAGGGAGAGCTGAGGGCTGCAGAGAATGAGAGCAAGAATGAGTTCCTACCTTGACTCATTGCTAAGTGCTCAATGAAGAAGCCTACATCGCTTTCTTTTTTTTTTCCCTGAGAGGATGTTTGTTCTTCACCGGATGAATTATTTACCATTAAAGAAATTAAGGTGGCCAGTAGGGAAGAGCAAATGAGAGTACAGGAGTTCAGGAGGCCAGGCTGCTACGAGACAGCATTTCAGCTTTCACATGTGCTCCCCACCCAGCTGCTAAAGCAGCTTTACCACAATCCTATTTCAGAGAAGCACCAGTGTACAGAGACTCCAAAGCTTGATCCTTCTGCCAGAATTGGCTTTACATTTTCACTTCCCTGCTGCTCTCAAGCTGCAACAGTTTGCATTCCATAACCTCAGTGTGGCCACTCAGGAAGCACACCACAAACAACAGAATTGGAACCCCTTAAAAGTTTTTCACAACAAAATTTATTAGAAGAATAGTGGTTCTGAAAAGTCTAGCATCCAGTGAAAACTACCATACACAACGTTACAGCTGGGAATGTGTTTCCAAAATGACATGGTCAAATAATACAATGGAGCCATTAAATCTTACACATGCACAACAAGAGAATTAGCGCTTTGACATACAATGCAAAAAAAATAAATGGACCACATGAAATAAAAATTTAAAAGTACTTATCACATACATTAAGACACAGCTTATTTAGTCCAGTCAAAAAATCAGAACTGCATTAAAAAAAAATTAATGTAGTGCAATCAAACCAAAAACCTTAATTTGTGATCATAAGTGCTCTACTACATAAAACATTGATCATAGCAAGGAACAAAAAATTCAAATCACACAGTACAAAAAAAATCTGTAAATAAATATAAACTACAGTACAAGAGAAATATTAAATTATACAATTCCGTCAAACTGTAAACAGTATATTGAAATGAGGTCCATAAGAGTAAAGGGGGGGGTTCCTGTTTTATTTCTTTTTCCCATGACACTTGAACTTCTAGAGGTCAGAGAGAAATGCCATTTTCCATACTCTTCAAAGACTATGGGTTACATAAATAGAAAGAGAAGACTTTTTAAGCTGTAAAGTGTCAAATAATAAAGCAGAGGTGTTGCTGACTTGCAACTGCCAACAGATCCCCGCGAGAGCAGAGCAGATTTCAAGGTTCGCCTCCTCGCGAGCGCAGCACAGGGGCCCATCACTACAGATGTTAAGTGCCAACACGTCCCGAATTAGTGCTCAGCATTGGAGAGGAGACACCTGCTGAGGGCCTGGTCCTATCGATTAGGTGGAAGCGATTACGCACACCATTAGGGATTACTTGGACCTCTGCTCATTATCTGACAGGTTTACAACGCTCGTCATACAAACACCAACTTTGGCAGAACAATTACTAATAAACTCAAAGCACTCCCGGCCCATTGGTTTCCATCACAGTGGCCAGTGCACAGAATTCTCTAAGGACATTGCATAACTAGAGTGTAGAGGTCAGACAGCCAAGGACCCGTGCTTGAGGTTAGAAGTAGTTATGGTGAGAGAGAAGCAAGAGCCACGTTAAGAAGCTGCCCCTGCTGTTCGCAGAAGCAGTTGGGAATGTATTTCATTTTTAGCTGCGCTGGCTAGTAGTGGCATTTTAAAATATATAAGTTTAAGATAACATATATACTATATATGTATATAATATAATACATATTATATAATATACATAGGAATTTCTTACAATACATACCAGGAACCCCCACGCGATCTGCTCAGTAGTAATAACTGAATATACAGAATGCCACTATAAGTGTCTGAGGCACTGTGTGCTGGAGAGTAAATATGCAGCTTTAAAATCCGTTTGGCTGAGTTATACCTGGATACCTGAACTGAGTTTTAAGTTGACATTCATCAAGGATGTGCTATCAGCACGTCAAAAGAAAAGCAAAACAAAATACAAGTCACTGCTAGGTTTAAGAAGAGAGTACAAGTACCTGAATTGAGTGAGGATAGTGTGTAAACTGTCCCTGAGGGTTTTTAAACAGTGTGTGTACAAGTTGGATTCCTAAGAACATTAGTTTAAACTTACATTGCGGACTGATAAAATACCAATGTCTGACAATTTAACAAGTGGAGGTTAGAAAGAGTTATGAGCAAACACTCAAAACATATTTTATACATTTTAAAGCAGCAGTAAGCTGCTGTAAGCATACATCCCATCAGTACAAGCAACACATGGGACTCAGATAAAGGTTTCTATTTGCAAAAAGCCCATCATATATTGGTAAGTAAAGAATATTCACCTGCTAAATTAGAATGCACCTAGTTACAGACTAGCAATTCAAGATTAATTTCTTTAATCAAATACTTTGCTATACTTTGCTATTACATACTAAAATTCCTTAAGCTCACTAATGCTGGTATTCTAATCTATTCTTTGTAAATGTCCCCCCTTCATTTAAGAAATATACCATTCCACAACTTAAACATTAAGATCCATTTTCAGTCCTCAGATGTAAAAAGCATGTCAATGAGTTTATATTAAAAATTTACATGGTAAAAAGGCTTGAATTTCAGCCAGAGATTCTAAATACTACTCATTCCCTGAAGGCATAAGGGAGAAAGAATCCCTACCCATTTTTCTTGTGATACAGTTTTCAAACTGAACATTAAACAATGGTCCAAAATGATTTTTCAGTTTGGGAAACTTCCCTTCCCTACCCATCATCCCAGATTCCAAACGCCAAGCCATGAGATGGCCTACCGAAATGATTAGTTAAAAACATCAGGCATGTATATATACATCCCCTGCCTGAACTTCACACTATTTTGTTGCACTAGTCTTTAAAAGACAGATTAGTATCCCAAGAGAACTTGTGATCTGACCTGAAAAGCCGTTAATGATCCTAGATTGTACGTTTAAGATATCTCATAACCTGAAGACCAGATTTAATTAAGACTCTGGCATTGTAACAGAAAAAGTGCTGCAGTTATTTATCCCTTTTCTGGTACTTTAGAATAGGTCAGACAAGTGCTTTTATAGTGACAGTAAAGTTTACATCCTTTCATGCAGGCGTAAAAAATAGTATCTGCAAAAATATCTGAGAAATGTAGCACCAAGTAGTTGAAAACCTGTATTAGTGGCTGTGGTAGTGTCGTCATTATTTCCAAGTAGGAAATAAAAAACATGAAGTTGAAGTTAGGCTGTACTAGGTGATGACCACAGAAATTGTTTCCTGACATTAGCTTTTCCTGCTCCAGTCAGAATGAAGTCTGGGTCCTAATCCCTGCTCCATAAAGTAGTTATCATCTGGAGGTACTCTAAATGATATTTACCAAATCAGTAGTGACAAGCACAGGGGCAGGGATGTTTCTTTTTAAGAAGGTGAATGAAATGCCCTTGGACGGGCTGGAAAAATCCTTCCTCCTATTACATGGCCCAGTAAAATTGCTTCTGCCACTGTGCTAAGAGATTTTTGTGAGGATTAAATAAAGCTTTCTGAATAGGAAGTTTTTCATGACAATACCTGAATATAGGCATAATTCAGTAGGACATGAACTCTAAAACTGCTGTTGTAATACTGGTATGGAGACTTGGCGCCAGTCAAAGCAAGAACAGCAGAGAGGGAGAGAGATGGACACTGGAATGCTGTTACTAACAGGTTTTTCTGGTATACGTGAAGTGGATCTACGGACCATTTTGAGTCCGCAATATCTCTCTGCTTAGTGATCATCACAGTACATCATGTTTATATGCTGGATAATTTGAAATGAGTAACTGCAGTGGTTACTTTCTTTGCTACATCTATCAGAACTGCGTATGACCAGCAGTGCAGATTTTCAGGTTTCTGAAGGTTCTAACTGAAGTTTTCAACATAGTTTGAGATCAAGTGGAAACCTTTATAGTATCAAAACTAGGTACAGCTTTTTAAACCAGTATTAGTCAATATTATCGCCTGGTGCCAAGAAAAAGCAACACTGACCTAGACTGAAAATACAGTTCGTTTCTGAAACATTTCTGGGGAAAACCTAGAAGGTTCTGATCCTCATGCAAATGAGGGAAACAATCCTTCCCATTCTACCTCTAACATTTGGCAAAGAATTTAACCTATTTAAAATATTGTGACAAAGCTTTCAGTACAGGTTAATAATTTTGCCTTCATAAGAGTTTGGACTGCAACAAGTGTATGCATTCTTGCACTGAAGAGTTAAAATTTTGTCTTCACTGAAGAAAGAGCTCTTTACATTACAGATGTAGCCACACTGTTTTTTGAGACACAAGAGAACAGCAAAGTGTTCCCTTCACTCCTTGGACACTATGTTCATCTCCTAAGACTCAAGGACATCTTAAGAGCATTACTTCAAAGTAAACTGGAAAGAAACACATGGTTATTACAGTTTTTCGTGTATAACAACTGCTGCAGATGATATAAAAAGCAAGACAATAAGAACTAAAATGAGTTGTTCCAATCTATGCAAAGCTTACTCAACCCTAAAGCCCCTGAATCATTTTGCCAGCTTCTGCAAACTTCCAGGGGAAGGCAATGTACTCATGGGTTCTCATGAAAGAAATATTTAGACTCAGATGTCAGCCTGCCACAAGACAAAGCACAGATTGGTCTGCTCTACCTGGTCTAAACACATGTGCAGTTGCCTCCCATGTTTAGGAATATCCTTGAGCACTGGAAAGCTCTACAAAAAGAGGTGGTATAGGAGTTGTGTGAGAATACAGAAGCAGAAGGTGCTCCCTTACTAGAGGCACTACCTTACCTGGACACCTGCATTGTTAAAAGTAATCTGTTTTCCAATTGCAATGAAAATTCACTGTTTGACTTCGGGTCTAGCAATAGGGTTGGTAATGCAAGCATCAAACGATGAGTTCTGCAACAAGAAGCAAAGCAAAGCATACCTGTTTGCTTATGCTGCAACTTCTCCTGTGCAACAGGGGAATAAAAAAAAATAATGAGAAATTCTAAAGGAAACTGTCTTGAGCCTTTAAGGAAAAAAGGCAGGGAATGACTGGAGAATAAAGTATCTTTTGACATAAATAAAAACAAGTCCAGAAACGTGTCCCTACTAATATCTAACTGGAAACGTTCAACTCTATAGCTGTACTCAAGCATTACGGCCACAATAATGCCTACAACACTGTGGAATGAGGATCCAGCTGGCTGAAAGTGAGGTAATAGTTTGTAATAGGTCAGAGTTCTAAAAAAGCACTTTTACATCTTACAAGTCCAAATAAAAGAAAAGAAAAGGACACATTTCATACATGTTGGGCTTTCTCACCAGAACTGTACGATAATTAACTCCACATCAGGACCCCTACCACACTAAGCCTTACTCATCTTCAATTATATGCTGCAGCAAAGATTTACCAAGCAACACCTAAACTTCAGTACAATATGAAACTTGATTCTTAAAACTTTATACACACAAAATATAAAATTACCTTTCTAGGATAGGGTAGGGGAGAGGGATTCTCCTTCATGATACTTGGACTGAAAAACTAGTTTTCAGAGACTGCCACAAATAGTATTCACAGTTTCTCGCTGTCAGGCTTTTTCAGCTACATCAACGTAGTACACAACAATACTGTTAAATCCAATAACTACATCGGATGGACGTTCTCGGGAATAAGAGAAAACTAGTGACGAAAAATACCCGAAAGGCCTCCTCCTAACGACGCCTCCATTTTTACAGGGTTGCAGTTTGTCTATGTTACACGTTAATGCGATCTCAAAAGAGCAGCAGGAGAAAGATTCTAAACCTTCTCTCCTGTCCAAGTGATCCAAGTAACATAAGCATCCACTTACCAGAAATAACATGAGAAACGAGGCTTTTGTTACAAAGACAGCAGTGAACCACACCTTCCCACACCAAAATATGGTCAACCAGGGATTTTGGCCATGCAAACTGCTGGTCAGCAGGAAATCAAGCATGCTAATGGACAAACATTAATTCCAATCATATATTTAAAATGATCGCAAATACTACTAGTTAGCTACACTGAAAGCGCCTGTAAAAAATATGTAGTGAGAAAGGAAACAGAACATCAGTGATCACTGCAGCACTTCGAGTGATACTAGCCTTACGTGATGAATCACCTCAGAGAAAATACATTAGATGGGACTTTGAAACAAAAAAGGTAACATTAAAAGGTGCACCTGAATATTACAGACTAAATTTACAAAACCTACAATAAGGTAAAATATATATCTTTTGAATATTCAGCAGCTTTTTTTTAAATTTGTTTTTATTTTTGAGAGGCTCATGAAATTTTAAAAAGGGACCACTAACTAATCTCAACCATGCTTCACAAAACAATAATGGCTATTTCATATTGCAGTTACCAATGTAATGCAATTAGTGCTTAAAAAATAATCTACACTTCTTTTTTTTCTTCTTTTTTTTTTCCTTTTCAAACAGAGACCTTTGGAGGAAATACGGTTGTTCAAAAGCTTCTCGAAAAAGAAAGATTACCTGAATAGTAAAGTTATCACAGATCAAGTGTTGTGTTTAAAAGCTTTGCAGACATGAGTATTACAATCTTCAGGTCTCAGGACATTTAAACTGAGGAAGTTACGTGTTTGGTTTGTTGTTGGTTTTTTGTCTTTTTAAATCCACTTTCTAACCAAAGCAAATAAAGAGTACTCAAGTTCTCACTATCTATTTACAATTCTTAGCCTACAGCCTGAAATGACAAGACAAATTCTCTTTTAAAACTGCAGCATTAAAGGGTAGGCACACCATTCTTCTGCTGCACGATTGTCACCCACTTAAACATACACATACAAAATATTTAGGTTAGTAAAATGAGCACTCCACATACACTACAGTGACAAGGTTTATAAAACTCAACTCATGTCGCTTAAATAAAGACAACTACAAAAGGTTAAACCTCTCTGAACAGTAAAACTGTGTTAGTTTTTTCTTTAAACTTGCAGCAAGCTTTCTACCATAACCTCCGACAGCAGATGAAACCACACGTTTAACTGCACCTTTATTGCAATCACCAGCTAAACTGGAACGTATTGCAGAGTTTATATACTGCTACTGAGCTTTAAACTGCTTTAAATACCAAGATGACAACTAGAGAGCTACGAGGAACCAGCAGTTTGAGTACTAATATATATTAAGTAAACAAAACCAAAGTGTACTTGGGGCCAAGTGCCCAGTCCGTTTCAAGAATGAGCAGTGCATATTTAAAACAACAGCAATGGTGTGCCTAACCTTTGAAAATATGAAGTTGCTGGGGAGGAGGGAGAGAGAATCAGCTGTTCCAGAAGTCAGTCGGCATCCCTACAGCTATTTAGGCCACCCTCCCATGAACCTTGAGAAACCACTTTCAATCACTGACATCACTTAATGCTCTCACACAAAAACTCTAATGCTTCTTTTGGTTGTGCAAACGGGGGGAAAAAAACCAAAACAAATTGTAATTCTATCTACCTTTTGCACAGGTTAAGACCAAATTGTTTCTACCTGAAGAACCAGCAATTCCGATTTGGTCATACTGTGGGAAGTCCAGTAAGCTCCACCCAGTTACTGACCACTCCTGCAGAAAGTATCAAAGATAAAAGTTCTGTACAAAACTTATCCTGGATCTCCATATATCATATGATAACGATATCATCGTATGGAAAAAACTGGACTTGTGGTTTACGGAGTGCTTTGATGGTGTTTAAATGCTTATTCTAGCATGTAATAAACCACTATCAAAAGAGGTTAAATAAAAACAACAACAAAAAAAGCAGGACTTGGATTAATTCCTGCTACTGGCAACTGTAATAGTTAAAAAGGAAACACCCATTCACTGAGTGTTCGACCCTGACAGTATTACAGATAGATATGATGCAGAGCCTGAATTAGATCAGGCTACCAGTGTTTTACTTCTTCCCTGAACATTAACAAGCTCCTTCACTAATGTAGGTATTTGGGCAGACTACTGAGGTTGTAACGTTTGAGATCACTGTTTCGTGGGCTTTTTTTTTCCTTTTTTTCCCCATTTTTTGCAATATCACAGTAGTTTGTTACACAAATCCCCCTTCCCCAGATTAGAGTTGTTTGAACTACTTGTTGGAACCACATAGTTTAGTAAACTCAGAATCAAGTCTGTAAAAAGCATAAAGGTCACAAAGAACCATAGTTCTGTTGTAATGAGGCATACCCTAATATATCATTTAGTGTACCCTGACTGCTCCTGACTGTGAGAAGCTTGTCTTCCGTGAGATAAGGCTACATCCTCAAGCAGGTGAGTCTAAATATCACCCTTCAAAAATATCAAACAAAATTACAGCAAAGGTAGTGTTACAAATAATTAACTGACATATTCTGAAGGTAGTGTATGTAAGTTTACCCTTCCCACCCCCCCACCCCCCCCCCGGGTGAGCACTAAGCAGACAGTGAATGGCAAGTATGTTCAATTTATAAAGAAAATAGTGGAGAGCCTAATTAGACCCAATTGATTATCCTCCTAATAAGCAAATCTCTGAGTTTAAGCGAGGTACCATTCCTAAATAACCTGATTTAGCTTAAATCTTTCAATCAACTGGATCAAAGAAAAGGAGGGAGAAAAAGATTACTCAAACGTTTTTGGAGAATGACAGTCTGATTCTCATTTGAAAAATGCCTGGTTTTAGGAAAGTCTCAGTTTAACAAAGTGGACTTTTTTCTATGAAGGCAGACATGAAAAATCCAACACTAGAAGTTCAGGCAGGCTCTACAGGCAAGACGTCCACTTCCACAGACCTGCATTCTTTGTGAGGTAACTTAACTCTCTATTACAGAGAAACATGCAAAAAGCAAAAGAAAAAGGAAAAAAAAAAAAGAAAAAAAGAAAAGAAAAGAGGGTAGTGGGCAGGTGAAGGAGGGAAACTGCACCATACCGGGCTAGAACAATTTACAAATGTGACATTCAGAGCACACCTTTCACCTGTGTCCACACAAGTCTATGCTGAACCGCAAAGGAAAGAGCTTTGCAGCAAATAGGAGAATCAGGTGCGCTCAGTGGTGGTTGAACTATGCAGTAGTGCTCACCCAGTTTGCAAAGTAATTGGCACTCTACAACATCCCTACTCATCTTTCAATTCATTTGCACTTTGTGCTGCTTCTCCCTGGGGATCTAATTCAATCTTTACTGAAACATCCTGCCCCTCCGACCTCATTAATTTCATTTTTTTCTTTGGAGGGTTTTTCAAAGTGCCCAGCCTCTCTTTAACTTTGTACTCCAGTGTACTGTGGGGGATCCCATAAATACTCTGAGCTTTGGAAACACTCATTTTCCCGCTCATAACCACAGAGATTGCTTCCTCCAGTATCTCGCTGTTGTACTGTCTGTATCTCCCTCTTTTCTTCCTAGGTTGCTTAGAGCCAGGATCTCCCTCTTGATCTGAGGTGGGATATGGCTGTCCAGAGGTAGACTGCTCAGCATCTGAGCCCCAGGAATCTGGTCCAGCATCCAGCAAACTTCTCCTGTTTTGTTTTGGAAGGATAGCCCTTAACTTCTTGCTAAGCGCGCTCTCCGTTTGTGAACCCATTACCAAAGAGCTATAGCTGTACTGGTCACCAGAGCGGGACTCCCATGAAAGGTCCATGCCTCGAACTTGTGGTATCTTTAAATCCACAGGAGACGAATGGCTCATGTCCTTTTTCCCATCCTGTTTAGTTTGAAGTGCCATTTTTTGAAAGGCAGAGTTTTCTGTAAGAAAAGGAAGGTCACTGATGTTGCTGAGTGCACCATTTCCCCTGAATTTCATGCGGCTGAAATTGAATTCGTAGTGTGGTTTTGCCCAAGAAGCCTCCCTGGATAATATTAAGTGCTGTCCATGATTCTGTAGTCCAGATGGCCCATGGCTGGCAGCCGTAGAAAACTGGTTTCTGCTCAGCAGTTCTTCACTAATCTGGAGTGATCGAGCCAGCGGTACTTTAAGAGATGTGGAGTGGCCATAACCTTCCCTGGTTCCATCCTGCAAGCTTCTTGGAGGTACCCCATCACCACTCTGTAGTCCCTCCGGATGGTGCTGGCTGGGTCTCCCAGGTCGCCTAATTGGATGGAAGGAAACTGATGTGAGCAGGACTTGCACAGGTAGGGAGGGATGGGTGAGGGGGCCACTCCTTTATTAGAAGGCCTTGCTTGGGTAACATCACTTTTTGTGTTATTTATTTTTTCTCTAAATTTGTATTTATTTTTTTGATTTTTTTTTAATTATTTTTTTTTAAAGTCTCAGCATCAGTCAGTTTTAAAACTTGTTCACAAAAAAAAGAGAAGCTTTTTGGGCAAAGAAAAATGAAACCTGTTGGCTGGTCTCTGGTTGGGTTCACAAATTCTCGGAGTAGAAAAGACTTCGCGCAAGCGTCTGCAAATAGCACCTTAATTACAAAGTAGTAATCAATCGCCATAGAGCTACACACAACTGTGTTACTGGTGTGACGTTACCACTAAACAAGTACAGTAATAAAAGAGTAAGCCAAAGTGCAACATATTCAACATGCAAATATGACTGCCACCCGCAGTATCTACACACAGGTGGAAACATTGGATGATGTTCGCTTATATCGTACTGAAGAATTACTGCTCAGGGTAAAGAAAAAAATGCTTAGCAGGCCTCAAAGGTATTTGCTTGACTTTCATTAGGCACCAAATAAGAAAGCTGGGATACTGCGGATCACAAAGAAAAACACTGCTTTACACTAGACTTACCAAATTGCTCTCTTACCTAATCGCATATATACAAGTCCCTGATTCTCATTTGATATATAGCATGGCTAGGAAAAGAAATCCAAGTCCCAACTGTCAGCCACATCAAGGGTTAACAGCAAAAAAAGCAGTGCGTATTTTTACCATTTTTCTTTTGTCACAAATGTTGTACGACACAAAGTACTACTACTGCAGACATATGGATTTGATTTTTTTGCTAGCTTACCCCTCTCTAGAAACTGAGCCACACTAATTTCAAAATCCACCTCCAAACTTCTCCATGTTCAACATACAGATCAACGAAGAGACTAGCAAGCGATTCTATTTTCATGCTCTGGGACACTACAGTGGTGTAAAGCCCTCTAGTACTAAAGTCAGCTTTATTTAAGGATAGGATATGCACTATTGAAAAGCTACATTATTTTAATCCTAGTGTGATGTTAAACAGGAAAGTCTTAGGAGAAAAGGCATCCACTGAAAAGGACCTGGCACGTAACATACACTGTGCTTAGTATGTATGCTGCTAGCTTCTCTTCAGCACGCAGCAGGTCATAGCTGAAGTGGGGAACAAGAGTCAACAAGGATTCAGAACAAAATTCAGAAGCGAATGAAAGTTTACCATTCCAGAGAACTCTCTCAAACAACGTGCATCCTCTGCTCCTTCCACAGCATCTATCAGCATCTGAATGCACACCAGTGGTTCTACACCTAAATAAAAGTCATTTTGGCAGGTCCCTAGGACAGAGGTTCATACCTGATTTCACTGACACTAAACAGACTGCAGTCAGCCACATGTACAAGTAACCACACGTGCCAGTATGCCGCATCCTCTCAGGGCAGTACTAGTTGCTGGCCCAGCACCCCGTGTGTTGGACTTCGGCTCTCACTTGACACACCAACAAGGGAACAAACAACACAGAGCCGCAACTGCTTCTGCTGCCTTCCTAGGAAAATACAGCTGGAAATAACCTGTCCAGCATTGAAAGAGAAGAGCTGGTGGGGAAGGTTTATGCTAAAGAATTGTGAAAAAGTACTAAGACTAACTTTTCAACAAGGATTGAAGTATTTTACTAATAAAACTATTAAATGGCTCAAGTCAGAGTAATATTTCCAAGAAGAAATTCAAAAGTTAGATCAGTTAGACTGGGGGGGCAGGGGCTGTTAGTTTAAAATCTCAAGTTTTTCAAAGGCTAACTCCATCAGTTAAATAGCAGTTTAAACCATACACTGTTTCTGTACTTCACTAAAAAAGTGACTTGTTCACAGTAGCTTCAAGATAAAATTCTCCCATCAACACCCAAAATCCCTCTCACTCCCAGTCAGTCTCTCCAGTACAATTGACTCAATCCTAACTAAGAGTAAAGGGTTTCTAAATGTATGCAAAAGTGACCAAGAGAAAGATAAAAGCTAAAAGAAACTTTATATACCATTCTTTCACACCTTGAACTAATGAAGGCACAAGTACTACACCACACATTTTATAATTATTGTTTTAAACTTGTTCAGATCTACGGTACAATCACAAATCCAAAAAGCCATGTTTAAAGTTTTCTGAGCTACCAGACTCCCTCCCCCAGCCGCTTCAGGTTGTGATTTATGGTAGGAAGTATTAACAAAAAGCACGCAGTGATTCAAACCTTTTCATTCAACTTGGTTCATCACTCAGATCATTGCTACCCTAATATAAACTTTCCTGTTAGCTGACTTTCCTCTTAGCGGAACAAAATCTAAGCTGTATTGCAAAGTCTCCAAGGCTCTTCGTACATTCAGCTGAACTGTCACCTCCATAGACATCACTTACCACTAAACCCAAGCAGCAGGTAATGGACAGATATTTGGCTAAGTACTAAATTGGCCAAAATAACAGATATTAGAGTTCTTAACTGCAACAACTTATTTGGCAGGTGGGGTGAAGGTATTTGCCAAAAGATACAAGTTGAAAAACACATTGCTCCAAAGGGTTAACACCAAAAGTAAGTTAAAATGAACAGGAGGTAAGCACATATTTTTAGTATAAAACAGTTTTAAAAGGTCATAGTAAGTTGCTGTCTCTTACCCATTTCCCGGAGTACTGGAGCACCCTGGAGAATGACTCAGAGAGGTGCTGCCGGCACAAGGACTCTTCTTAGTGGATAAATCAAGCACACCGTCTATAGAGACAAAAGAATGACTTCAGTGTTTGAAGAAGCAGGATCGGCCATGGTGTCTCTTGACACAACAAGTCTTTTGGGCTAAAGTCTTATTTAGTGCACAGCATTTTCTATTTCATTTTATTTTTAAACAGACGAAGGCTTTGATTTGTTTGCTATTGGGCTTACATGTGACTTCAACATAGCCCTCAGAAGTCACAGCATAAACTGACAAAATTAAAAGTGCACCTATTACCAGAGCCAGGGAATAAAAGGTGACCTACAAATGACAGTTCAGGATACACTACAGCCTATCATAAAACTAACCCTCCTCAGTGGTCCCAAAATGAGGCAATCTCAAGATATATTCCCTCTCCTTAAAGGGCACTTTAAGCCAGTACTTGATTATTTTTTTTTAATCCAAATCTCTGTAGGAAAATTCACTGGGAATTCCATACTGGAAACTCATTTTCGAATAAACACACACTTAAATGTGAGACTCCCCTCTCACCTGGCAGCTATCACCATCCCTTTTCCATATCTCCAATGGGTTCCTACTGGCAAAGCTGCTGCCTTTCCCCTCTCTATTGTGTCATTTTACTCCCCCTCTTCTTCCATACACCAAATTGTTTTTCCTGCTAGACTGATTCTTCCATTTTCACTAATGGCACATCCTCACACTCACCCATACTCTCCTGCAAGCCCTTACATAAACTCTGTATTTCTAGGCAACAGAAAAGGGAGAGCTTTTTGCTGGCAAAGCCTTGCTCCCACTGCACTGGAAAGACCTGAAATCTCGGTCATTTTAAAAGGGCAACTTTGTTGTAGAAGCAGCACAGCCATTTGAAATTCCTGGAAACTTTGAAACAAGGAATGTATGAGGCAAAGATAAATGTAACCTGTTGGCAAGGTAAACTAGAGACATTTTTGAGCTCCTCACTTACTCCATCTAATCAAGTAAATACCACTCAGCACAAGAACAATGTAAGATGGCTTTTAAATTGCTTGATGTTCTCATTTGACATATGGAGAAAAAAAAACCCATGATAAACAGTGAACTAGAATTAACTTGTGGAAAGCTGTTCCACCCACTGCATTTGGGAACACACTATAACCCAAACTTAAGCAGGGAATTCATCTTCTTTTGAACAACACTTATGCAGCCACAAGAAATACAGACTGGATCAAGTAGCACCTCCTTTTCAAGAGGCTAACACTAAACAGCAGGGGCTGCTGCCAGGGGCACTTGCATCCACATTTCCTTTGTCAGAAGGGTCATAATGACCTAGAAGTCTCTGAGGGCAAGTAGGGCCTGCCTCGTACTCCACAGAGTTTACAACTAGCTTACCTACTGGAACAGAGATATAACAATAAGCACCATTAGCAGTCTTTCCTGACATCCTCTTCAATCTCTCATTAACAAGATTGGCAAAATCCCTTCCCAAGTACATTTAATGTAAATTGTAAAAAAAAAACAACAAAAAACCCCATGAGCAAACAGACTGCTGTGTAAGTTAATCTGTGTATGCTCTAACCCTACCACAAGTGTTATGAAGGGTTGGGGTTGAATCTTTAAGGTCCCTTCCAACACAAACCATTCTATGATTCCATGAACATTACAAATTATCTTAGAGCTTTTTCATCACATGGTAGCTAAAGAACAGTTCACGTTTCCTTCTGCACCTACAATCCTCTAATTACAGAAAAACAACCAGAAATAAACAGAAGCGAAACTGATTCTTTGTTTCAGCAAAAAGTTTCACAATAAGAACAGTTTCACATTTATAAGCATATATGCAACAGTTGTGAAACACATTTATAATTAGCTAGAAATAAAATTAGCTAGAAACGTATTCCTATCAGCTAAAGGTACAGGCCCTCACTTCAAGACAGACACCACTGACACCATGTAACCTTCCACTGCAGTTTTGTAACTGAAGTGTGGTGACAGCTTTCAGTAAGCGCTGTAGGTGCAGTAAGTGTCCAGACGCCCAAGCAGCATACTGCTGAACACATCAAATCAACCTTTGTACAAAAGGCTTCATAAACCTAAGCTCAAAGAATAAAGAAACATCCACCTACAATTCTGTACTAGCTTTTTAAAGGCTCCACCTTTCCCACTGGAGGATGGACAGCCTACTTTGGTTTTGACAGAATGATTTCAGACACTAATACATTTCTAAAGAAGGGTAAAGGGGCTAATTTTAATCCTCTCAGTAGGACACTTACGATAACCTCCAGTCAACAGTTTCAGGGGAAAAAAAACCAAACCAACATTCACATACTGTAAATCACTCACAGAACTCACTCGTTAAAAAACATTTTTAATGGCAAGCAAGGTTTTCAAATTAAAACAAGCTCTGCAATGCTGTTACAAGTTATTCAATCTGTGCTCTCCAGAACAAGTCTATTTTTAAGGCAGAAGAGAGACATTTCTTCCAAATGCATAAACCTGTAAGTTTTGTACAGTTCATGGGTATCATTTTTACAGCCTTCACAAAGCCGTTTCTCACAGGCTTTTAAAAAGATACTGTTTTCACACTATGGCCAGAAAGAAAATAAATCAGTCTTTCAATCAGACTGTGAACTGATCTCAGAGAAGAGACAACATCATGGTTTTCATGACCATGTGAACTTGCCTTATCTGCAAGCACACAGTCTATTTTGGCAGACTGTTTCTTGCGGCTCCCAGTAGGAACAGCCCACTTGTCTCCAGAGTATGGAGCACGTCCATTCCCTTTGCCCTTCTTCAGAAAAATCACTCATGTCTATGGGCCTACATTGATCCAAAAAGTCTCTTCTCTCCCAGCCACATCCAGCTAGCTGTTATTTTATTGTAAAAACATCTACTGCTTTTCCCCTTTACAGCTTATGCAAAAGTGCAACCTTCCAATTGCCTGGTTTTGCAACGAGAATGCCATGAACGGATTGCTGTAGGATGCAAGACACTGATAAGAGTCCTACCTTGTTCACTAGGTTCTGACTGAGACTTTCTGACAGTAAGGTCCAGAGGTGAGTCTTGGTCAGCCATGAGAAGTTTGCTGAGCACAGGGTTCTGAGCAGTTGCAGCCGTGGGAGAGGAGGCGACCAGAGATGCTTTCAGCAGGCTTTGGTTCTTTGTGCTATTGGGCTGGCTGGAGTCCTGAGTAGAGCTAGTTTTTGAGGTATATTCAGCAGCAAACTGTCGGATCATTCGCTGCATGATCTCACGGGCCACTAGGGGAATATTGGGGTCAGAGACCCTAGGACTGTCTGTAAATATTAGAGATGGTTTTTAAGGAAGCACTTTAAGTAAAACAGCTTTTATATTAAATCATTGCTTATTAAAAAAAATAATAATAATCTAATGGGAGGGAAAAAAAATGAAAGCCACAGATAAAATAGTTTTTATAGAAAATGTACTCTAGTCTTAGAATACCTGAACAAAAACTATTGCTAATTCTGGTATAACCTTCCCAAAATAAGAAATATGCAACCTTATCTTTTGCTTTCAAACACAAATATATTTGACCAGACCTTTAAGAGGTGTGAAAATGGAGAGTTAGACTTATGAAGGTAAGTACCAAGTAATGAAGCTCATTCAACAAAAAAATTTAACAGGTTATTCAGAGGAAGAACTGAGTAACTTACCTGCAGATACAGAAGGGGAGAAAGGAGAATAAATTTGCAGCAGTCACCTACAAGTCTACTAAGAAATCAAGCCCTGCAGTTCTGATCCTTCAAAATAACTCACATAAGATCAAATGTTCAAGTGTTTCCATCCCATTCTATCTATCCCTTTTGACATTTCAGTCATTACCATCAATGCAACATCAGGGATTACTCAGAGCTTTCACATACACAAAAATTCCAGAATGTGTAAAATGAAAAATAACTGTTTCTAGGAGAGCTGCTAAATCTATTAGAAATGTGAAATGGAACAGGCAGACATTCCAATTTGTTTGTATGAAATAGTGTATAAATACAAAAAAGTGTCTGGGGATGTGGGGGGGAAAAAAAAAACAACCCCCAAAAATCACCACCACCAAAACAAAAACCACAACCACACAACTCCAGCAACGGCTCAAAAGGTTTGATTTTCTATTTCTGAAGAAACATTCAGGGAAAATCGTGCAGCAGAAGACCAAGCAAATCCCTAGAAGCAGGTCTCGAAGTGTTTACTTCCTCTTTAAAAAAAATTGTCCACGTTCAAAGGCAATTTATTGAGATTGAACTATTAGAAGCACAAGCAAAATCTTCTGTGCGATATTTAGTGTCAGATTTTACTTTTGCTGCCATTTCTGATGAAAGCGTATCATCCCAACAATCCAGCTTTAGTGTATCTATAAAGGATGACTGACATTGAGTTTGAATCTGGAGCTGTCCACAAACCAGAGAAAAGCAGTAAGCAGCAGCCTCTGTGTTTCTTAATGGAAAACCATGCTGAGCTTTACATACTTATCAAGCCCAAATTCCTTCCTGTTAAGCACAGCTTTCTAAAACTAAGACCTTTTACAGTCACCATGTATAATAGCTGTAAACTTTCAAGATGTTCGTGTAAATTCATAATCATTTTCTTGTAAAATCTACAGGGTGTTTTACTGTTGCTAAGGATGAGACACTAGAGCTTTAAGCAGCTACCAAGAGATGAGCAAAACTTGAATTTAGGTACAATCATATTCTCATTTTCTTACTAAGCAGCCCACAGGGACCCTGGAGAAGCATGAAGGCTTTTTTTTGCTATGGTGACATTTCTTCCATTTTCTAGCCTCTCTACCTGATGAGGGACATATGAAAGGCTCTAAGAAAGCCCACAAGGGCACAAACTGGTAGCATGATCACACTGATACCAACTATTCAACATGTGCCTGTAGTATATACAAGTGGGGCTGGCATGGACACAGAGCTCTGAGGCACCTATGTTTTCTGAAGAAGAATCATCCCTTTGCTGTGCACCCATGCCCACACATACGATTCAGTAATGCTTATAGTTAAACATACTTCCAAATTCAGGGAGAAAATATTGCATATGCCTACAGGCATGCATCTTGATAATCTGCGACTTCAAAGAATAAGCACAGGATCACTACTGAGAGCTTTCCAGTTCTGCTCAAGATAAACTCACTAACTCAGGACAGAGAATTAAATTTTTTAAGCAGAAGACCAGTTACCTAGCACATTAAAGGCTCCTCGCTTAATATATAGCCTGAACACTAAGGATTAAAGCTGTTCAAAAGCAAGTGGAAAATATTTGCTGGTGCCTCTGCAGCATCACCTGAAATCAGCAGATGTTTATTTTGACTCCATGTGTCTCATTATTTTGTTGCTTGCTTTTTATTTTAATAAACTAAAATTAACTAAACCATAGAAACACTCACTGAAGAACAATACAGCAAATATTTATCAGCTATAAATAATCTAAAGCAGTACCTCTGAGCTATAAAAATCTTAATAGCTTGTGTATTTTATCTACACTGAAACCTTCATTAAACCATCAAAAGACGGTCCTATCCTGCCACAAGGTAAAGGGAACAGACAACTAGGTATGTACAGACAACTGGGAAGTATGGATATTTGAAAGATGCATCACAGAGCGGGCACAAAGCAGAGAGGAAGTATGTGAGATTAACGGACCTGCTCAGAAAGTTTGCTGATCTTGCTAACTGCCTGTGTATTTAAGTACATGAGTGCATGTCCTTGATGTGCAACAGGCATCCGTTCACAGAACATCTGCACCTTCTCTGATCTGCCTGGGCTACAAAATACCAGTCTCAAATGTTACTGGCAGTGAGGATGGAGAGAACAAACAAAAAAGGAAAGAACTAACGACTGGCATGATGCCAGGAGAGCCCAGCATCTTTGAGCAACACAGGAGTGTCAGAGTCCTGCCATTCTTTGTGTCCTCTTCGGTATGACAGTGCCTGGGGATCTTATGGCATTGGCATGAGTTAGAATAACTTTTCAGGCAATCTAAATACAGCTAAACTTGACAATGATGCATATTAAGGGTTCAAAAATTACTTCCTGCCAGGCTGCTTCCCCTCCCTTATTACTCTTGCACCAAGCACAGATTTGCCAGAGGAATGAAAACAAGAGTATATTAAAAAAAATCCATAAAGATTCTCAGACATCTGAAGCCATTTCATTATGTTCATTGTGTGCATCTGACCAAGGACAGAGCACTAAAACCCTCATTAGCATACTGCAGTATCCACCAATGGTCTTCCAACATTCAGGAAAACATGCATTTCTAATAAGACATACACACAGGTCATAGAGAAAAATTTAAGCTCAATGTTAAAGGGATCACATCTTTAATAAACCATTTGGAGGTGATGGAAGTGCATTATTTTTTCTCGTAAGAAAAGTAAAATGGAAAAAAAAAGTATATTTTCCTCTAGGTTTTTGTTTACTTAAATCCCTTCTGGATTTAAAAAGAGAGATGGGATAAATTTAGAAGTAAAAGGAAACATTAACCTTAGAAGAAAAAAAAGAGCCAAACAACAAAACCCACACTCTGAGAAGGAAGACTTGGAATAAAAGCATTATCTGAACTATCAGTAGTAATGCAATAATTATCCTTCCTACCATCCTACATGCTTCTATACTTTACATAATACATCATAATGTATAGTTTGTATTTCTTCATTTGAGTCCTAAAAGAAAGGCTAAGATACTGTTATCTACTTAAAACACCTTTAAATATTTTGGTCCCTGGGAGGAAGGGCTGGCTACAGCAATTTCTAATTTGTTAAACTGAAGCCCTGCATTGTCCCCCAGAAGACAGGTTGGAATTACTGATTTGGCAGATTTTCTCACACATGGGTTAGACTGATAAGTACAATGTACTTTCATTCAGGATGCATTTGGAAGCAACCTCTGGATTCCCATTTCTCAGACTGGTAGAAAACACTGAAATGAGTTTTGTGCCTTCCTAAGAGCACAGTTTAACTGGCATAACTCTCCAGAGGAGATTTACAGGATTGTCTAGCGTTGAGCTACTGTTACTGTTCTCAGAAAATTCTACAGCATTGATTTTCCAATTCTTTTGCTGATCACATTTTGAATTCTCCACATATCCACCTTAGCACTATTCCAACATTATTCTGTACTGTTGATTTCTGGGGGTGGGTAATCACTACAGACCATAGTGAGAAGACTGCTGGGCTTTAAGAAAAACTGCATTACATCCCATTAAAGTAAGATTTTTAAAAGAATTTTTTTTTTGTTTAAAATTGCCCACCTAGTACCACCATCACTTGCCCTTCTTCCCCACAGCCCATTCACCCAAACATTGCTTTCAGGGGAGAAGTTACCCTGGGTAAGAACTGAGTCATTCCTCTGAAAGTACAAAACACCAGTGCTCTCAGGATGAGATTTGGTTTAAGGCTAAGTATGTTATACACTTTTCCTCTCTCTCAAGCCCACACGGTTGTATTGCTACATTATTTGAGAGTCAATGGTTACTCTTGATAAATACATATTAAGACAACAACTGAAAAATACTGAACATACAATGACAGCTTGAACGTCAGATCTTTGATACCTGCATTGCATGCAAACAGACCAGCAAGAGATACCATTTCCCACCCCCCAGTAAAACCAACCTTTTCTGTAAAAGACTGCATTGAGGAACTCTTCCGCTTGCCTTTCAAAACGAATGATTTTTGCTTGCTCTTGTCTAAGCAGAGCTTCTTGTCCAGCTTCCGAGGCTGGCTCATCCAGACTGACTAAGTGTTCCTGCAAAGATATTTAATATTTGTAAGATCTTCCTGACTCCAAAATCAACAAAGTTCCTTAGGCATTAAAAAAATTTACTTCAATTCAAAACTTTGTTATGTACTACACAGAGCTCAATCTACTGAAATCACAACTTAATTTTTGACTGCTCCAGAACATTGTACTTTGTCCTGTTTTCTTGTTGTAAATGCAGCAGAAGCCTGTAAGATTTGATAACATTATGGGGAAATAAGAAGCTACTATAAAGAACATGCAGATATTTTACAACACTTGGCTGTGAATCTCTTATCTAGCACTTGCTCTTTAGCTACTACTTTTAGTTCCAAGAAATAACCATTGAAGGCAAAACACAGAAAATTCTCCTCAATCTACGCAGCATTGAACTGAGTGATAAACAACTAAACTTTAGCAACAAACATCCTTTGTGAAAAGGCTCAGCAGTAGCTACTTTTAAGTGAAATAAACTAAAGTTAGCTGCACACACCACCTGCAGTGAATTAAAATTCATTCTTTCTTACAACTGGAAGCAACTGAGTTATCTCAATATTTCAAAACAAGTGTTTTAATGAGGATAATTAAACTGTGTGAGATGCCAGCATAAATTACTCACTTTAAATGGAACTCAAGAAACTAGAAGGCAACAATTATAAAAATAAGAAATCTAAATCAAATCCCTGCCCCCTCCCCAACACACTCCCCTATTCTCATTTCTCTGTTTAATGCCTGGCTCCTGCTTAGGAGAACACTGTTTCCAGGCCCTCTCTCTCCACTTTCATTTTAAGCTATAAAGTTACCTGTATTTACCTACTGCAGGAATGCATACATAACCACTCTTTGGGTTTAGGGAGTGTTTTGTTTTGTTAACCTTTACGAAGGTATCAGTTACCATAATATATCTAGAGTACATCTGGATTTTGGCCTCTAAAAGTTGATTTCAGGTTCATATCCTCATGGGATTAGTAGGGAAGGAAAGAACTGGCAATTCATTTATAATTCACAATAAATTCAAAGAAGTCACTCTTCAGTTTGTGCCGTCTCAACTTTAAGAGGTTTAATGAAGCAAGGTCACATAACCAGCCCATAGTAAATTAACAAACTGCAGTCACATGAACTACGTGCAAAGGGTAATAATACGAAATGCTGTGGACTCTGGCCTTAACAACATGGGCTCTTGCCTTAGATTTGTAATTCAACAACTTCCAAAAGTTCTCTATCACAAGTAAAGGGAGATACTCTCTCAGACAGGGTATAGAGACAAAGCAGTGCTTTTAATAAAAAGCTAAGGAACATGCAATGACGGAGATGGTAGGTGAGTAAAACACCACACTTTGCTGTGAAGAGAAGAGCCTGTACAAGTAAATACCCCACAAAGTGACTGACTGGTTTTTTCTGTACCAGAGGGATTCCAGGCTTGCTCCCGTGGTTCCCTGGCATTTTATGAACACACTGAAAATGCAGTTGCACTTTTTGGATACTTCAAAAAAAAAGTGTGAAGTATCTGCACAGGATTCCACAAAAATATTTGTGGAGGGTAAGCCCAATAGTTTTGTAAGACTTACTCCTCTGTTGAGAATTCATAGAGCACACTTGCATCCCCTTTTTGAAACTGTGCTTCTGCCTGTGACAAATCTTACTGCAGGATCTGTCCCAGTTATTGACAGCCATTCTGAGTCAAGCTCCATTATCTTTTAGGCATTATCAGGATAATTGTAAGCTTGGCTTATCAGGTTGTACAAGAAGCAGATGTTGGTGCAAATTAGCTAATAACAGAATTAATCTAGGCATAGAGAAGTGTTGGAACGATCACTGGAATATCTAAGCATTTACAAACTGCTTCAAGTTTAACTTTAAAAGGCATCTCTGCAAACTGATGCGTGGAGATTTGGCTAGATAAGCTCTATTAGAGCTAACTGGCATCCTCTAGCTAAAGTCCCACAAGCCACTGCAAAAAACTCCTTTACTTCAAAGGACAATGAGCGAATTCAGAACTGAAGGAGACATTACCCTTCAACCTGAGCTGATACTCAGCCCTTTGACAGACTTTAGCTCTGGAAGAAGCCTAAAATAAAAATAACCCTTGGCAAACCCAATGCATTTCAAACCTTCCTAGCACTTTCTGCAACTAAGACAATACACAGTTAAGTACTAGCCTAGCAACTTGGTGGAAACAGATTTGAATGACAGCATGCCTCACCAGAAGTAAGTTTACTTTACATTACTCATATAAAGGCAACGCATAAGGAGTACAATTTAACCTACCAATCTGCACACTTGCTACAGAAGGAATGAAGAAAAAGGGAATCAGCCAGGAAAAAAATTTTAAGTAGCTTATACTGGTGAATGGCTGAACGAAGGATCATTTGATCTGCATCGGGAAGAAGAGAAGAACCAAGGCAATGGCAGCACTTAGCTCTTATGCCTCAAACTAGGAGCATGCCGTTCTTTACTTGTATGGGCTTTATTAATGTCCATGCTAAGACATCGAAATGTAAAGAAATACAGCTCTATAGCAATCATTTAAACTTGTGCAGAGAAAAAAAAATAATCTTAGCTATTTTCTGCTATCTGCAGCACAGCACTCACTACATGAGAAAATATGGGGAAGATTTCTGTTTATTGCAGATTTCAATAATTTTTCTTGTCAATTGTGTCACAACAATGCCAGAAATCACAGCTGGCTCACTCCTCATAGGAAGCTTCAAGTTTCCACGCTAAATATTTGATTGTGACTACTATCCAAAGTCAGCTTCCAAAAGTGTGGCTTTTGTTTGTTCTGGATCTGTGCAGTTGGTTGGCTGGTCTCATGTTGGGTTTTGGTTTTGCTTGTTGGGGTTTTTTTGGTGATTTTGGGGCATTTTGATTTTTTGTGGGTGTTGTTTTTGTTTGTTTGGTGGAGGGTTTTTTAAACATTTTCCACCGTTTCTTCCCAATAACCATTATATACATTCACTATCTTGAGGCTTATCCTCTCACTCCACAGTCCTGGATCACACTGAAGTTTTCAGTACTCACATGCAGGAAGCAGAAAAAAGAAAAACAAATGAATATTTAGATAGCATTGTCATTAGTTGCAAACTAATACATAATACATTACATAATATTTATAGAACAGGATTCACTCTGTTCTCTTTGCCCATCTCTTCAGATGGGAATCATGCCCCAGAGCATCCCTGGAATCCCATCAGTGAACATACAGTATCACTGTATTGAAGAATACACCTTCAGGAAAAGACATTTGGAGTGGATTGCACATGCTCCCAAAGGTCTAAAGGTTTTTGCACATTAAGATATAAAGCATAACAATATAATTAAGGCAAAGAGCCTTAGAAATACAGAGCTCAGGGTTTCAAAATGCAAGGTCAATGCATGACCTTGACAGACCACCTAATCCTGGACAGCCTGGCTTTGTCAGCACTAATGTTGGATCCTCACTGAGACCCTCCTTGTAGGAAATGTTGAGACAGCAATTCTAAATGCTAAACTGCTGGCATGAAGAGAAACGTATGATGCAGGCTGGTTTTATATAGATATGGCAATAGCAGCTTCATGTTTAAGCCACAATCTGCATGCAGATGGAGCAGGAATCACCCATAAGATGGAATGCTGTGAACTAATTCTTATCCATCTTTGTGGAGGAAATGGTGGCTTCCAGCAGACCACCTGTGGCTGAGTGGCCCACAGGGATACAATGCAGACATTCACCCCAAGGTAAGATCAGGAACAGGAAGCAAGAAAGGAATGTTTCAGCATCTCTAGGTTGTCTCCTCCAACACTTCATTTTCCTTAAGACTGTACAGTCTTTTTATCTCTTAGCCAGTGCAAAGGAGAATAACCTATTATTTTCTGCAGAAAAGCCCTAATGGCACCAGAGACTGTCTTCTTTCCTTCTGTCTTCAAGACCAAGTCATTCTTGCTGCTTTCATTTCAATAATCATAGAACTATAGAACAGTTAGGGTTGGAAAGGGCCTTAAGGTTGTCTAGTTTCAACCCCCTGCCATGGGCAGGGACACCAATATTCAGTAATATACAGTTTGTTTACATCTCTCTCAAAATGCGACACCCAGTTGATGTTTCACCAGCACTTGGGCTTTCCTCCCAGGTATGAAGACAAATGCCTGCCTTGCTATGGCCCCAGAAACAGTTTAGTACTTTTACAACGCTATCACTTTTCAGGTATCTGCAACTTGTGACTTGACAAAGTAAGTCAGTCTGTCCCCGTTCTTCAAATTTATTGAGAACATTCCCAGTTCTGAGCATGTCCTTTAAAGCATCTACAACAGTTCCTATCTTGGAATCAACTAAAAGTTCAGATTGCTTAGTTTTAAGATGACCCTCACTTACTGAGCATACATACTCATATAGTAAGAAGAAGTATTTCTTTCTCTATTAAGATGACTGATATTAAATTTGGTTTGAATTTGATAAATAAGACTTGACTGATCCATAGCTATTGAATTTAATTTAGTAGCTATAGTAGGGGAAAAAAAAAATCTGTGGAATTACAGTAAGTTTGACATTAACATTTACACACAAGTAAAACTGTAACCCTGCACTACTACTAAAACCAGCTGGAGATTATCATAAACAGCCTCTTCAGCTTTTAGACTCCACAGCAAATTATTTTATAACCACCCAATACAAAACTGACCTTCTAAATGCTTGAGGTTTTTTAAAGTGATGAAATGCATGAAAAATGTTTTAGGAGCATCATCCAGCACACTTAAGATCTCTGTACACAGTTTAAACACATTCTAAAGCCATCAAAAAATCCCAAGAGTTCCACAAATTCAACTCATTTTCAGATATCTCCTCTGCTATCTTCAATTATCCTAGGAGTTAGTGCTTTAAATGATAGTGGTAGCTTCTCTTCACAGTTATTCAGACACTTACCACAGTTTGCTTCTTATTGTTTATGTTCCTCCATAGTGAAAAGATACCAGAGTCAGAGGCTGTTATTGTGACTAAACATAAGCAAGAAATGGTGCAGCATTACCTTTTAGATGTTTGCATAAAGCAATTACTTATAACCTTTTAAAAATAGAAAAAACGTATCAGAGTAACTTTGGGTTTTGAAATTACTCCTTCACATGCTGTACCCTCCCGTACTTCTTCACAACTGGGAGGGCCTTACACTGAAGCCCAGGTATTCCACAGTACTCCGAAGTCCACTCAACCCTCTGATGTCAACAGCACAAGACTCCAGAATATGCTCCTAAAAGACGTTTTCTCTCTTGCTATTTTTGTAGCTTAAATATATCTATAAAATACTTAATGTGCTTAGGAGTATTATCCTTCTTGTTCAGCTCTCATCAACTAATGAGATTAGCTGTGTCCCCCCTTCCCCTTTTATTTTTTTTAATAATACATATGGATTTCTTTATGTAGCTTTAGACAATAGTGTTTTCTTTTCCAAATGACTATACTCCACTGAATCCTCTTCATGTAATCTTTTCCCAGTTTCCCCTCTTATCACTGCTGCTTTCTTCTGTCCTTTCCTATCTGCAGCTCTTTCTTAAAAAAAAGAAACATCTTAAACTAAGCTTGAGCCCCAGCTATGAGCAAGTGACAGCAGATACATTTGATACAAACATTCTACATGAAGCCACAGATTTCATATGTAATCTCTGTCGCTTTATTTAACAAGCCAAACTGAAAAATTAAGAACCATAATTAAAGAGATAAGTCAAGCACACTTCAAATTCAGTTCATCTGAATTGATGGGTCTTCTCTGTGCCACGACCTTTTAGAAGGAAAAGCTTCATTATGAAGATGTAAAAAAAAAAACAAAACCCAACCATCTTGCAAACTAAACTGTTTTAAATATTCCCTGTGAAGGATAAAGGCACAAGCAATTGAGAACCATCACATTTGCAGATTACTCAAATTCACCATATTTGCAGATTACCCAAGTTTATCAAGTTTGGTCCCATAGAACCCAACCTACTTCCTCTCACTAGGAGTAGGCAGCGAGAGCTGCTAACTTTGTCTTTTTTGTCTTTCATACCCATCAATATACCCATATGTTTTTGCACACAGACACCCACATTAATAACCTGGTAGCAGATCCTTAGGCAATTTGTTATTCTCTGATCACAGCATACTGAAATAATAGTTTATTCTGGAATTATTCTGCATTCTTCTGCTTTCTTTCTGGAAGAAAATCAAACTCTGATTTCTAAAACCTTTACATTACTGCGCATAACCCTTTAGATTTGGGCAAAAGTGTGTCTGTGAAGATTTTAGCTCCTATTTTGTCTGTATTTTATCATCCCTTTCAAATGAAGGCACTTAGATCAATTTCTTGATCAAAAACTATCTTGTATTTTGACTGCCAAAAAAAATCCATGCTTTTGCTCAGTATTTGCAAGTAGAACTACTGCTACAAATAAATTAATCTTTCCAGAATGCTTTGGCAGATGGTTCTCCATCCTTTGAAGAATTCATGTAATTGAATCTGACTGCCTGTAAAAGCAAGAACCAACATCACTGACATGGGTGAGAGAGCAAGCGTAGTTTTTTTTCCCCTTAACAGCTCTGCCAATAAACTGATCTTGGCCTCCAATTCTCATCCTGCAGTAGAACTCAATTCTCCTTAAGCACAATTACTGGTCTCCCAAATTAAAGGTAATTTGGGCAAATGAAATCCAGGGGAAAACCCTGAAGATTTCTACTGGGTTTGAACTTGTCAGACCAGGTACCTACATGTCACTCAGAGGTGAAAAATCAAGCACACCATTAATTATTCCACTAATCTAAAAAGGTGTATTGGTGAAGTAGTACTTACTAGGAAAAAAAGGCCAGCCAAAGCCACACACTGTTGTCACGTGGTTTGTGGCTATCTTGCTCCCAGCTACAGCATCAGTTACACACCTTTTAATTCTGTAATTCAGCAGTACACAAAAGCACAGACCTGAATCATTCCACCAGTTCTTTTCCTAAAAACCTAACAGAATTCACATGTACAATAACAAAAATAAAGCAGTACAGAAGATGAAGCACAGAAAGCACAACCGCTACTGCTTTATGTACAGGATCTGACAAGTTTTAGCAGTGACAGAAGACTGAACCTGCAATTCCCCCAAAAGAAAAGTGAAAGCTATTCATACAGGTGTTCAATGGAAGAGATTTCAAATAAACTAGTACCATTTCTAATCTAGTTTTGTCCATCACTTGGCTAAATACCAGAGGAAGTTGCAGACTTTTTATAACAATTTGGTCTCTGAAGTTTTAATTCAAATTATGTTGTAAAATCCGTACAATTTGAAGGCTTCCATCAGAGTCATATTTAACTCTGTATTGCAAGCTAATGGCATCAGCAATAGCCAGCAGTGCAGCAATTTGGTGTACCCACACGGGAAATGAAGTACTCCTACCCTACCATCTCTCTCAGCTGATATACAAGAACTCAGTAAGTCTAAAAGGAGACACATTCTTCCCTCAAAACCAAACAAACCAAAAAAGCCCAGAACCCCAAATCCAACAAAACAGACACAAATGCTGAGAGGCAGGAAGAAAACAAAAAACAACTAAAAAAGGAATCATACATACTCCAAGCATGACAAGAATCACCAGGATTAACAGAGAAGTCACAAGTTTGATGTGAATGGACTGGTTCACCTTCTTACCCCATTCCCTCAGCCAGTGATCCCTGGCCATAGAACAAATAAATAAGCCTGTGAACACAACTCTGCTGTCCCTATTTACCAATCAGTTATAAGAAAAATGGTTGAAACAGGTATTTTTTGGCTACTGGAATGTAAAGTGACAGAAATTGCTTGGGTTTTATTTATAGAAGTTATTCTACCCAGGCCCATAGTGGCTGACTGATCCTACCACAGCCTTTAACTCGCATTTCTCCCCTGCAGCTCAGAACTTATAACCTCCATTCCTTTCACTGAGCACCTTTGCCTAGCAATGCTACACATAACACAACCCTAAAATCTCCTTAGAGTCCGATGCCAAAACACCACAGAGCACACCAAATGCAACCACATCTGCATTGTTTTTTTTTCATCCATTGAAAAGCCACAGTACAATGTGAACCTTCCACACGAGGAACCTTAATGTAAATGGTAACTACCACTAGCACAAGGAATACATCACTGGTTTTTCAGTGATACTCAGAATCATGGGCTATACTTTACCATGTGAAACTAGATAGGAAAGCCTAGCAAAGTACATGAAAATACCAACAGTGATACCTCAGCTTCTGATCAACAGTTGTGTTGAAGTTTGAAAAGGACAAGATGACCATCAGCACACTCTACAGGGGACATTTGTGTTCTCAGTTTTTGTCTTCACCTAAAAATCACTGATTTTCAGGAGCTTTATTTTAGGTATTGTGGACCTCTGAGTACAACTGAGATGTAAAGAGTGGTTTTGAAGCTCTACCCACACCTGTTGGATTCCCCCAGACTATGACTAGTCTCTGACCACAAAATTAATTTCAGAATCGACTTAACTAGAACTGTGCCGAACACTGAATTTTGTCTTTTTATGAGAGGACATAAAACAAAAGAAGACAGAACTCCTTACAGCACAAGCACACATACAGCTTACCTGCTACAAGTCTCAACGGAAACAAGCATTATGCCTTACATCTGTTCTAAACGCAAGCATTCCTAACTCTCCTCTCCATGCCTTAAAAACTGTTAATACAAAACAAGTGTAAACTGTCAACATGGCAAGTATCAGTCTCAACAATGTACTTCCTTTATGAACAAGACACACATGTTAGCTGCTGCAGAGAGAAGAGTGCTTTTGTTGCATTCCTAAGTTGATGGAGATCCACTGTGTTTTATTTTATATCATGCAGGAAGAAGGGGTAGTTACAAGTTCCAGCAAATGAAGTTTTGCCAAGACAGGTGAAGCTGCTTTCCTTCCTATGCTATAGAGCAATCGTTTTTGCAACACATGGGCTGAGAAACAATCACATATAGCACAAGAGCCTTTGCTTTGTATACTGCTATATCTCATTAAGAAAACCGACTGCAAGTTTATTATGCTGACAAAGCTGACTTGTCCACGTTTAGGCTCTGACTATGATCTATGATTCTATGACTTGGTTATAAACAAGCACAGTACAAAATCTACCTGCCATACAGGAGCCCTTTAATAAAAAGATACGGCCCATAGGGAAAGAGATTCCGAGATACAGAACAAGGCTCTAGGCTGTTAAAAGGACCGCATTTCCATACTGAAGATAAGCCCAGCATCTGACTGTAGTAAACATGCACAAGCCACAGTTTGGCTCCCTTGGGAAGGGCTTATGATCCCAACAAGGTCCCTTACAAAGAACTCAAAGAAAACCAAACCAAACAAAAAACACCAAACAGAAAGAACCACTACACATGGAAAAAGAATAAAAATGTGCATCACATCCTACAAAGTTGCAAAGAGGCAAGTCTGTTCATTAACTTGCACTGTTTTAATTCAAAAAGCCTTTTTCTGAAGGAGAGGAAGGGGGTAGGAGGTTGCAATTTTCTATGTTCACTTCACTAGGAGCAAGCTCCCTCCCTTTGTCCCTCCCCTACAACTACTAGCTTCACACATCTGCATTGTTACCTTCACTTTTTCTCTTCTCAGGCAGCAGAAAAGACAATTTTCATCAAAAGACCAATCAGAAACACCTTCAGGCTCACAGTCTGTAAATCAGAGGAATAGCAAATTACTTCATATTCACATAGCGCGACATAACTGGAGCCAAAAGAGAAATGCCAAATTAAATACCTGTTTCACCACATTCTTGCCTGCATTCTGAGCATGCAGGCTTCATTTCAGCCATTTTTCTAAACCCCCAGACTACCAAACTGTACACATTTTATCTATGCACAACCAATCTGTTTTTCCGAGCACTGCCAAATACACTCCCAGCTACATAAAGATGAACGCACACTCATTAGTAATTTTAGCCAATATGAAACTAACTGTGAGCACTGCCTGGGGGAGGGGGAAAAAAGCACAAATCACCACGGTAACACACATTTTCTAGAGGCAGAGCTGGGGCTGCTCCTGTCATTAGAAATGCAGAACAAGATACAAACATAGAGATTGAATACCTTTAAACAAACTGAGATCTTTTAATAATCCAGGTCCAAACAGGCCTTCTAGAATACTTTCAAACCCTAAAAGCAAATAAAAGAATTGTTAGCTTTCTAGATTAAGTACGTCACTACAAGAATATTCACAATAGCAGTTCTATATTTATCTGTTCCAAGAACAGTGCTCAACATGTTTTCTCTAAGTATCGCAAGATACACGGGTCAATTGTGATGACTGAACTCCTGACAAATCACAGCACAATCCAGAGAGCCCACCAGCTCCTGCACTTCGGTAAACAGCGAGGTTAAAAACAAAGAACGTGATGACATTGAAATAAACCATTTCAGAAAGAAAATAGGAAGCTGTAGGTTGTAGTTCTACAACATGACCAGATAATTGCTGTACAAAATCTCGTTTAAACCTCTGAACTAAGGTATGCTTTCCTAATTAAAACATACTTTCTTACACCTGAGTGGCACTCAGTTACTTTTCTGAATTTCAGCAAATGTCAGAATCAGTGTTTCCTGAAGAGTTACAGGCTTGAGGAGAGAAAATTCAAAGGAACGGGATTCAAAGTGGCATGCCACTAAGGAACCAAATTCCAATCACAAATTCGCATCCAAGATACACAGTCCGATTTACTTCAATGCCATGATTTGCGCCTTACTTGAAATAAATCTCACCAATTTTAGTTTATTCTGAAAGAGGGAAATCCTGTACCAAAATTTATGCCATTATTTGGAAATGTTAATCAATACTGCACTAACCCCTTGCTGGCAGTAAAATATACAAAGCTATTAACTACCCAATACTGCGAGAAGACAGGTTAGCAGGATGAATATGAGAAATACAAAAACTACTTTAAGGGGGAGAGACCAATTCTACCTGTTTAGAAAAGCATACTCCCAATATAACCAGAAAACTCATGACTACAACTTACTGTAAGTAATTAATAGGGTAATTTTTGCCCTATTAACACTTTTGCTTTGTAGGTTTAATAATGGTTTGCACATAGACAGTGGCAGCTTCTCCTACTTGCCTGAATGAGAGGCAGAAGAAGAAATGAAGGGGAAAAAAAAAAAAAACAGGCAAAAATATGGTTTTAAATTCAGAGAAACTTGCATGGGTGAATCAGGGACAAATAAATTACCTGAAGTATCCATTTTAAGAAACCAGTCGAAATACAAATGGATCACATCTATGAAGGAAAACAGTTATTACATTGCACTAATTCTGACTTTATGCAGATCAAAGTTATCTTCTGGACAGCAGTCCTCAAAAGGAACAGACAAGTAGCATTACCCCCTTTGGGTGTGAGCAAGAGTGCCAGTGCACCAACATCTTCAGGTACCAGATGTGGAAACCTACAGAATTTGCAGCCTGCAAATGACTGATGGCCACAGCATTGCTGGGGTACATCACCATGGGTGATCTAATCCCTATTAGAGGCTGGCACTAAAATACCTAATTTGAGAAAGGATCAAATGAGAAAAGAAAAAAAAATAAAAAGGAAAAAAATAAAGGTGTAATAGGGATGGTGAAAGTAACAGTCAAGAGTAAAGAGAAATAGGGAGGAACTGGAAAACAAGGTGGAAGAGGAGAAACAGGAAAAACATCCCATTGAACAGCACCTTGTCAGGCAGAGAAGTAGCACTGCCTCCAAAAAAAGCCAATTCAGGCTTCAGGAAGTGGCAGGAACAGTGGGAAAGGGCCGACCAACCTGACCTAGAAGAAAAATAGGAGAATCAGGGTATTGACCCATAGATTTTTAACATTGACTCTCTTATGGGTAGTGACCCCTCAGAATTTGTATCTGAAACGAAACCTTTAGAAAAAGAGGTAGCCAACCTCATTCTTTCTGTTAAAAAAAATGTATTAGATATATAAATAAAGAGAGCTCAGAAATTTTACCCAAACTCACCACTCTTAAAATAGTAACTGCCAATGACTCATGCCCCACAGTTTGCCATGCATGCAATTGCACACTGAAGTCCCTGCCAAGTTTTACAGCTTGGATATTGTACAATCATAGTTTGCTAGCCCACTGTTCTGAGTGATGCTAATGCCACTCGGGTTTTATTAATATTAAATATTGGATTTAGCAGTTGCATAGCAACAGCAGAACATCTTATGTGCAATGCTTGACATTAAAAAAGGCAAATAAGGGAAGTATGAATGTATTCAAAATTATACTAAAGACTGACAGAACCACCATGAAGCTGAGCCCTACTCCCCCCAGATGCAAAGTGCAGCGCAGTAAAGACAGTCTAAGCCCTGCGCTGTAGTATTCAGTCACTGAGGACTCCGAAAGAGCAACTGTGTACAGTTAATCATGCATAATACATTGAAAACAAAATCTTGAAAAAGGAGCTGCCTACTTTTTATAGTATTTTTTCTCTCCATTGTCACTGCTCTTAGAAGCTTGAAAAGAACATTTCTTTTCCCACCGATTGTCCTTTTCCATTTAGCAGATGATATTTTCCTGTATTTCAGATGGAAGAGAAATTAACATGGCTGCTTCCACTAAATCCTGGTTTTCATCTTTCCACCATCTATATTTTGGTGTCTGACAGTTCACAGCCGCTGAAGAGCAGGGCCAGTGGAAAAGTTGCAGGAATAACAGAGGAGAGAAAAAGGGATGAAGATCCTGATGTTTTAGAGCTTTCCCTTACGTAAGTTCTTCACAATTACAGCAGCCATCCTTTTAACCCTTATAAGTGCTGACTTACACATGGGAAAACATCTTTTTTTTCCTAAATTCTTACATTAAGATCCACAAGGTTTTCATTTCTTTTCAAACTACAACATTTTTGAAGTGTAAAACACTTTGGCTATATGAGAAGGCTCTCCAGCAAATGAAGGGTTACCAAAAAGAAACCAAATTCCCAGAAAGAACAAAGAAAACCCTTAATACTGAAGCAAGACTAGAATAACTTAATACTTTTTCACCACTGTTAGCTCTAAAAGTAAAGCAATATTTAAGAAACCATTATTCTCCAAGAAGTCCTCTGACAAAACCCAGACCACGGATGTGCCATTTTTATGCTACAAGCAACAAGCACAGAAATTAAAATAAAAAAATAAAAACCAAAAATTAAAGAGAAAAGTTACCCATGCAGTTTTCAGCATGGTTACGTTTCCCTAGTTAGATCTCTGCACCTAAACAGTTCAGTTTGCATCTTTTTCTGGCATTTATGTCCTCCCTTCTGTAACCGGTATTTTAAGTCATAAATTTTAAAGTGTTGGTTAAAAATTTAACATAATGGTTTGACTTCAAGCTTTAGAAATAAAATTATCCAGTTAGATCCTCTTTCGCCTTAAAATTGAGAGCTCCTGTCATGATTAAGTAGCTACTGGGCTCTTTGAGATAACACTATTAGTGTGTTATCAGAGTCCAAGGGAGGACTTTGTTGATCTCTAGCAATGTGTGCGAGCCAAAGACATATTCTCCCCTTTAAAAAAACAGGAATGCAAGATCAGAAGGAGATAGGGATGCATTTCTGGACTGCCATTGACACAGAGCCTAGCTTTTCAAACAATGGTTTCTTTCCATGCGACTGCACAGCTCAAGCATACCCTTTAATACTCACTACATAATTCAGCCCTAACCATGGATCTCATCAAAGCAGTAAAGCATGTACCACTAACCCAAAGGCAGATCATTTTGAGGGTAGTAAAGAAAAGTTACAACCCGTTTTTACTATTACATAAATTGAACTCCAAAACAAAAAGAAAATCACAACAAAATCAACACAGCAAGGGCCTTGAAGGGGGAAAATAAAGCATACATAGTCATCAACTCTAATTTGTGAACATCGATTTAATCTGTGAATATCAATTTGTATGAAAGATCTCAATAGATGAAATAAGCACTAGCCAGGGCAGTAGCTAAGTACAGCAGATATTGTAGATCAATTGCAACAAGAAGGCAACTGATTCATCAACATTTATTTCTAATAAGCAATCAGCCTAATAGATAGCAACTTGAACTTTAGAAGAACAACTTCAAATAGCTGGAAATTGAGTCAAATCAACTAAAACAACAGTTACTTATATCTTTTTTTTTTTTTTAATTTCTTGACTATTTAAGAACTTCTTACCTGAAACCCTCAAAAAATATCATTGGAAAAAAAAAAACAAACAACCAAACAAAAAAAAACCCACCATCAAAAACCTAACACAACCCAAACCCACAATGCACCTAAGAGTGAAAGCACAAAGAAGAAAAGAGGTTGGGAAGAGGGGCAGGGGGATTCAGAGCAGAGAACAGCAATAAAAATTCAGAAATGTTACAAAGGTCAGAACAAAGAAAAAAAACTCAAAAGGCACACATGAATAGTACCTTAAAAAAAAAATCTGTAAGAATATGGTAGTATATGAACAAACATTCAATATAATGGCATACATAATCCAGCAAGGTGATATTATTTAACAGTTTTAAGATAACAGTCTTAAAATGCTATGTAGGCTATTTTACCATTCCTACCCCCTTCCCCCCCTCCCTGGGAGTTACTCAAAGAGTGTTTGCAGCAATGTTTAATTCCAGAAAGGCCTGGAATATTGAGAAAGTTCCAATGGGGGGGGGGAAGCAGAAGTCATCCCTTTGAAATGTCCCTTTGAAAAGTCATCCCTTTGAAAAACATTTAACTGGGCTCTCAACTTGGTAAAGGTTTTAAAAACCAAGGAACAGCTCAGAGGACCACTGAGGATTTAACAGGTATGGTGTCACTCAACATGGGCTAACAGCAGTTATTTAATGACTTTAATGAAACTGAAGACTTTATTAACAGTAACAGATTTTAGACAATATTTTTAGATTTCCACAACTTTTGGGCCAGCACAACACATTTTGACTAAAACCAGCTGAGGAGGAGGCATTGAAAAAGAGAAACCAAACCAAGCCAAAAATCAGCCAAATACAAATAAACCAGATTAAAAGGCAATTAAGTGACAGCTCTTTAAATGTTGTTGTCAATGGGAAACCACTGCTAGTGAGCTTCATCAGGTATTGGTTCTTGGCCATGTGCCGTTTCACGTTTTAGTCAGTGACTTGGAAGAAAGCAGTCGCTAAATTTGCAGGAGATACAAAGACAGGAAGAACAGTAAATAACAAAAGCCCAGGTCACAGAGGCTGCTTACCAAAGCAAATGCAATTAAACACTACTTTGAAAGGGGGTGGAGGGGAATGGAGAAAGCCACAAATCACACTTTTAGCAACAGGATTGTTAAAGACATCCCCAGATCCAGCAGATGAAATTGGAAGCTGATCAAACTTCTGCCAGACAATAAGACAAGGGTCCAAGTGAAGACAGAAGACATGCACTCTAGGACAAGACCAACACTTGCCCTGCTGTAGGATTCTGGAGATGTTATTTAGGGAAGTATGGGCTGGATGCTAAGATCTGTTGTCCTTGTACTCTCCCCCAGCAATTACATTCATGTTAGGAGTTTCATTAACTAGTAGGAAGCATGAGCTACCACCATCACATCAGGTTTTTATTGGATTTCTCATGCCTAGATTTTCTGGTCAAGATTGGATATATTTATCCACACCTATGGGACTTGAAGGAGGAATTAATTCAGAAAAATCCTACTGTCTATGTGTAACATGGGAATTCTGACTCTTTCAGGACAAAAATCTATTAAACTTGAATGTTTCAGTCACAGGCATCTTAATAGAAAAGCAAGACCAAGCAACAAGGGAGGGGAAAAAAAGTCACAGGACAGTTATTAATATACACCAAGTCTCAGGACATGCATATAATTATAAGTTGTGAATATTCTTTAATTCATGCAACAAAATAAAAGAAACTCCCATCCATCTATGATGAAAGATCTCATTATGTGAAGGGAGTTCAATTAAGTAACTACAAGTTAAACCAACTTTCTTTGAGCTTCCTGTAGAACAAAGAAAAAGCTGTGCATCTTCAGCAAGTTTTCAAAGTTCATTCTTCTGCATTTTTATTAATGAAACTGCACTGCTTGGGGACTTACTGCAGATATCCCTCCTCCAGAGACAACAGATGCTTTAGGAAATCCAAGGACTTTCCAGGGACCATAAATACCAATAACCTAGTTCTGCAAGAGCAATACAGACATATGCATACAGAAGAAGAGAACTAAGTATGTTAAGATAGGTATTGTTTGAAAGAACAGATATAATGAAGTTCTATATAGTAATACGTAGCTCTTCAGTAGCTTTTTTCATCAGAACACCTTGTATTCCAAGACAGAATACATGGTATCAGCTGCTGAGGTCCATAAACAGGCCCTTGGAGTTCAAGAGAGAGTCCTTTGGCCTTCGGCTAATGCTTCATTGACCGTAGAACAGCATCTCCAGTAGAGAAGTTTCATTTGAAGCTATCAAGAAGCCAACAAGGCACATGCTCTGTCAAACAGCCACTTCACTGTTACAGTAACTTACCATAGCAGTAAGCTGAGAAATCAAAAAAGGGACAAGAAAACTACTAAAGCAGGCAAGCACTGTTGATAGAAGAGCTTCTGGCCATTCATCCTGCAAGACTTCATTAAAATTCCACTACTGGTCTGTAATTTTAATAAAGAAGCAGCTGCAGCAGGCCATCCTGACTCTTCTCTCCATTCCTCTCTACCAAGCAGTTCCTTTTCCTCTGAGAATCAAGCCTAAGCACATTTTCTCTGATGCAATATCAAACTCACAGCAAGGCATTTAAAAGTTAATGAGCTAAGCATGACAGAAGAACAGCTACATATCTAAACCACAGTTGCAATGCACTTGCCTTCACAAGAGAAGAGCGCCCTGCCAAATGCCCTAAAAGAGAGATCACTTCCCTCTACAGGAGAGAATGGAGGCAAAGAAAACCAGCTATCAGGCTGGTCTCCAGTGGAAAAAAAATGGGAGCAGGTCTCCCCATCCTATGTTAGCACCCTAACTAGCAGCTTATCTCACTGATTACAATTGAAAAGGCACCCCCAAAAGACCCAGAAGTGACAAGTTACGAAGCTTGTTGCCACAGTACAGCAAGGCAAAAGGCATACAATGGATCATCTCCCGTCCCCCTCCCACAAGCAGTATATTAGTGTGTGTGATCTGATACCAAGCAGAATCACACGAAGGCATGCAGCCTTCTTATCTCTAATCAGAAACCTCAGCAGCAGAATTCAAGAAAAGCCAAGGACTCTGCAGCAGCTCAACATCACCTCAAGATACAGCAACTGATCAGGCAGACTGAGCTGTAATCTTGTGTGGGCTTGTGGGGGTGGGAAGATCCTCCGATTTGTAGATACTGCATCACTAATCTGGCTCGTCCTTCAAATCAGTGGTTGTTGGCTTTTGTTTAACATTTTAACTCAAGATCAGGAGGTTTATTGTATGACTACCTGGTTTTCTTCACAGCCAGTTACCACCAATGCAGAATCTAACTGGAATCTTCTCATGTAAATACTTGCATTTTATTACTTTAGAAAATAAACCAGAAAACACAGGCATCACAAAATGGCAAA